TTGAATTATTAGGGTTTTGGAAAATAAGAGAGAAGAAGAGAGAGAGATTAAGCAAAAAGTGTATTGTATTAGGTTAAACAATTACAGCAACATATATATAGTCATATAATGCAAAATACTGAACTACCTTTATTCTACTATTAATGCATAACATAACAATAGATTATGCAGCAGCTAATAATCTCCTAAAGCTCCATAAATAAAGAGTAAAAATAATGCTACATAAGGAATACATGGTCCAGGACAGGGAAGGAAAATTGACTGGCCTTTCAAGCCCTACTAAGTGAAGGGAGTTGCGTAAAATCTATCGGCCAATGAACCTGAATTGCTAAATCACCGATTTTTCATATCTGAGATGGAATAAATCACCACCAAAACGAACAAGCGATCATTGAGCTACAGACATTGAACTACTTGCAAGGCATGCAAAATATATTTGATTATGGAACCCCACAATTTCCCATACTTATATCAGAAACTAACCTTCAGCCCTTCATAGAGAGCACGTGAGCGACAAGACCGTAAGCAAGAATGATCATACTCGGACCTCACGAATTCACGAAGTCGTTGTAACTTCGTTCTCTGGCGCCACTGTTGCCATGACCATGCAAGAGGATACGCAAGAATGCATAGAATACTGTACATTGATCCCTCCCACCACTGGTAAGCAGCTATAGCATTAATCTCGTCCACAAATCTGATGTATGGACCTTCATATCTGCCAGATTAATTTACAATTATTCTAAGAATTCTAACTGCAATTTATGAAGCATGCTTAACAAGGACAAAAATCAAAGGACTCTCACCTCCCCAAACACTGCCCCCTCCCCCAAAAAAAAAAAAAAAAAAACACCAAAACAAAGGAAAAAAAATTATAGATTAAACAAGTGCCAAAGAAACAATCAACCAACAAACATTAAGAGGAAAACAAAAAGGGAAAATACTTACATAATTTCTTTCACTTGTTCTGGAGGTGTATGAAGAAGATGCCAAGGTTCACCGAATGTATTCGAACCCAAAAAATAAATTCTATGTACATGCCTCTGTGACTCCTCAACTCTGTTTGTCTCTAAAACCTGAAATTCGGATAGAAAGTCCATCATTCAATATTTTTCGATTACAAAAAGAAGCCAAAAGAGAAAGAACAACAAAAAAGATTTTGCTCTGATGATCTGACACTTAATAGAGTGAAGAAATGGGGTTATTCAAAGAGGCACCTCATTCAGTGACTCCAGGAAAGGAAATGAGTGATCAATTTGAGAGCTGTGCTGTGTAGGAGTGGGGCCCGGTAATTCATCTACACCAACAAACTTCATTCGTGCAACACTAAGTACCACTGCTAGCAAGATGAGGAGACCCAAAAGAAGAAGACCAAACAACCAAGGCCCACCGAATGTGTACATCAACTCCTCGAGAGCCGTATAACAATGGGGCATGTGATATCTTTCCGAATTGCATTTGTAGGGACAAGGTGTTTCAGTAATGCCACCTGTTATAAGGACAAGGTGATGATTCCAAGATTAGTTTGGGATAATAGACAAACATCTTTCAAATAGACATCTCTTTATATAGCATTACAATAAACCAGAATACTATGGAGGTTGATTGGGTGATGAATTGCACATGGGACTACTAAATATAAAAGAATGCTTCATGGAAGACAAGCACGGTGGAGATCCACAGTGACTGCAACAACTCTGAGGACAAAGTCGCACAACACAGAAATTTTGTAGCTCGTATAACATATAAAACATCATGTGCCTCATTAAAGTGTGAATACCTCGGATGGTAGTGTAAACAGCACGATTGGGAAGCTCATCAGCTGGGCACGGAAAACAAAGCGCTCTATCAGATCCTGTTTCATTTTTATATGTGCCGGCTGGACATTCCTGTTCGAATGCAAACCATACAAAACATGTTTCACCCACAACTGATTATACCGGAAGCAGATTATGTAACACCAGTGCTTCAACAGTCCACAACGGACTAATTTTTGGGTCCGTAAAGAGTATAAAGTTAAAATAGGAAATCAAGAAGTCAAATCTAAACACAATTAGTTATTGAAAAGAATCTAGGTTCCATAAATCCATATAAATCTTACATCACAAAAATCAGCCTAGATGTCATACGAATATCAATGGCCTTGGTTGCATCAAAAACCAAAATATACAATTTAGTCAAGTAAATTCAGTGTAAACTTAATATCTGTTCAATGGAAATCCTGGAACAATAAGTTGCATAGGTATTTTATCTCAGCAACGCTGCTCACAATTTTTTTTAGTAACTCAAAACAAATCATCGGGCAAAATTGTAAGTGTACCTCACAGAATGTTCCATAAAGCCCTTTTGGACAAGCTTTTCCAGTCACCGTACCTCTTTCCCCAGCACCACCATAAGTTCCAGCCCCTCCACCCCTATGGTGACAGCAGAAAACCACCAATTGTTAAAAAAAAATTATAGCCAACACAAAAGCTAGAACTGGAGTACGGGCAAACAAAATACATTATGCATTGTGAAAAGTAAGATTTAGGTGTTGGTTTTTCCGAAAGAGCTCACTGAGAAAGGGCAGAAATGGTCTTTTGGAAAGCACTGGATATACTGGTCTCGTTATATAATTAAATCTGGCATTACTTGGAAAAGTGACTGAAGGATTTCCAGTTAGGATATTTGTTCTTTATTTGTTACGTCTTGTGATCATAAACATGCTTGTATTGGAATTGATCATAAACCATTTACAGACCTATTTATTAACAATATGAATTACCTGCCATTGACCTGCCATTGCATGTTGCATTTAATAGAAATAGTCATCCAATTGATAACATGTTTGTATTGGAATTGAAACTAAGACCACTAATAAATTTGAATGATTTTTATCTCTATTTCCCGTCATTCTTTGATGTTCTGAAATAGATTCATCAAAATTCTTCTTATCGACATATCCTTGTTCTCGATATCTTTGATTAGTTTGGAATTTACTCTTATAAACCATTGAAATACCTATGGTTTGATACATAATAAATTGTCCATCAATTTTTTCAGACAGACGAACCGATTTGATAATCAATACCCTTTTTTTCATCAATTTTGAAATTACACAAGTTAAAAAGATAAGCGTGTGCAAAAACCAAGTTTTTGAGCTTTATTTCCCTTTTTTTAACAATCTGATCCAAGGCTTGAGTTGAGTCTGACAAGAACAAAAAAAACACGAATCATAAGCCAAACAAACTAAAAATTTGGACAATGTGGTACGCATGCAAGTTCAGTCACATTGTTTCTCTTTCCCCATAACTTCAGGAAACAATGAAATAAACAACGACATATAGAAAATTATAAATTGTGCATTCCATAAAACTAACTAACAAAACAATTTTTTTTAGAAGAAACATTGATTCATTGAAAAGTCAAAAATTACAAAGGACATATCATAGGTAGACAAGACATCCAAAAACTAAGATATGAAAACATAAAAGAAACAAGAAAACAAAAACTCAAAAAATCCATGTATAGGCCATGCACTACATTCCACACGTTGCAGTCCAATTTGAAATAATGCATGAAATAGGGATATCTTTAGCCATGGAGGGCCTAAAAGGAAGCCAAAAAGTAAAGTTGTTCTCATAGTTCTTCAACCTCCTCATATTGTCATAAAAAAAATCCTTGCATTCCTTTCTAACCAAATCACCCAAACAAAAGCATTACAAGCACAACACCAAAGGGTTTTCCACTTCCTATTCCCACCCCTGCTCCAAACATCCATACATATCATCGAAAACATGTTTGCACGCCCAACAATGACCAACAAGTTTAAACAACTTATTCGAAAGAGAGAAAACAACAGGAGATAATCAATACATCACCTTTGCACATAACACACCACTCCGGTGAAAGACAAATCTTAGGTCTTCTTCTTTGAAGCATATCATAAGTCTTAAACTTATCATGAGCAATTATCCATAAACAAATTTGCACCTTAAGAGACACTCTAGATTTCCAAATCACCCTCGAAGGAGAAAACAACGGAATTGATGGATCATCAATTAAGCAGTCAAAAAAGGATTTACAAGAGATAATACCGGACGAATCAATAGTCCAAACTCTTTTGTCCAAAGAGCCTTGAGTCAAAGAAACATTATTAAGCAAAGACAAAATTTGTACCACCTCTTAACATTCCCTATCATTAAGACCTCTACAAAATCCAATATCCCAAGACAAGAACAAAGAATCATAATGAATTAATGACACAATTTTATACTCATGGAGCAAAGAAATACCTTTTTTTTACACTAATAAAACAAATTTCATACTCTAATATCTTTTTTTCCTTCACTTGACACAAAAGCATACTTACGTCAACAATGATGCGTCCAAATAGCTGTTACCCATTAATATCTATGTGTCCAGTTTTGAGGTATGAAGTGTATCGACATTTACAGAAGCTTTAATTTCCTTGGTTATTTCTTGTTCATTTGTTTGGTTTATATTCTTCATGTAGCATCCAGAATAAATGAGATTATGAAATTACGTCGACATTTCACATATTATGGGTAACATAGAAATCCACTCGCTTAGGTGAGTCCAACTAAACTTTTCTATCAGGCCAAAAAAAGTTCAATATTTCTATCCAGTAGAATTGTTAGGATCATATATTCATATCTTTATCACATACCCCGTTTTTACAACAAAAGACAAATCGTCTATCAGTGGTTGTGAATGACTGATTTTTTCAATCTTTTCGACCTTGGTTCCATAGGAGCAAGTCAAAAATATTGAGAAATATAACCATCTAATTTGATTTGTTCTCAACAGCCATGAGATGATCATCTTATGATAATCCTTTTGTAGACGGATACTTCTAAACACTCGTAGTCTTTAAAGGATGAGAACCAACACGTATTTTCCCGGTCTAGTTTCTTCATTTACCCCAACCAATTAATAGGTTGGTTTTAGGTTCAATGGTACAGAGAAAGAGTAGCAAGGTAAGAGGATGGGACATGGATAGTTGTCTGGGTGATATATTCATATCTTTATTACGCCCCCCTTCTTTTTTGGGAAGAAAATGAGGATTTGGACAAAACTGATGGAACGTAGCTATGTATTAATTCGGTCCAGGTTCACACTGATCTTACACAATAAAATAGAGGTAATCAATTTTGCCCAGTTTTTCAATACACAATACTCTCATAACAGTACTGTTTCAATGTACCAAACAAACAATGTGAGTTCTGGGATTAAATAACTCATTTTTGGGTTCAAAAAATGCCCCCACACTTCATCACTTCTCCTCTGAATTGCTTTTAACAATTTCATTTCCTAATCTAACAACTGATAATAACTGTTAAGGTCCTAATTGGCAAAAATATCCAGAGATGACTTAACCCAACCATGAACTATAATAAATTGAAAAAGCTAATCGTAATACAACATCCATGACATATGAAGAAACCAACAAACTAACCAATGAGCAAAAGGAGACAACAAATACTTCTAGAAAAATCTAGAAAAAAGATAAAGAGTCAGATTTTTTAGGTGAAACTTGGAGAAGAGAATAAGAGAAAGAAAAAAATATTATGTGCATCTTAGTGTGTTAGGTCACACAACTATAGACCAGCTTTAAAACATAAACCATAATATAATGGTTAGATATGTACGAACCCAGTTTTTATGCTGCCCTGCACACTAGCTATTGGATGGTATGCCTCTCCAGTAGGAATGTCTGACCAATGAAAGTGAATCCTTCCACCACCACCCCCGCCACAACCATTGGGACATCCATGACCACCAACACTTGAAAGAGTGCCAGGCTCACTAAGAACTAGAGCACTTAAAAACAAAAGAATAGTCCCACCAGATCCACCCCCAGGGCCTCCATTATGATCATCTATAATTATGTAATCATTCCTCAAACTTTCCCCCACATTGTCTCCATCAGCTCTAACTGAACCGTTAACAAGTAATCCTGACAGGGGATGCTGCCACGAACCCATTACTGCAAAATCAAAATAAGCACATCAACAAAGTTTGAAAACAGAACACACAAGTATCCAAGTATAACATGGGTTTGAAAACAATTACAACCTCAATGGATGTGACAAGAAAATATTTTCATCACCAACCAAGCATGTCCATTTGAACAAGAGCATAAACTCAAAGACTTATTCTTGTGCCCCTCAAAAAAAAAAAAAAGAACTTTTTATGGTATCCACATTTTCCAAATCGATCATCGAATTGTGTGCCCTTTTTATGTCAACCATGCTCACCAACACGAGATTAAGAATTACCCCATCAATGAATAGCTGCAACTCAACTCAACAAACCCTTGCCCCAATATATTTTTGGGTCGGCTAATTGAATGTTGTTTCGCCATTGTGCTCAATGAATAGCTGCAAATTATAATTATAATCTGCTAGGAAATTAAAGCATATCAATTGGATGTCCACTTAGCTTCAATTGACTAAAATTTGAACAGTATGACCAGCAAGAAAGAAAAAATGACAAGAAATGAAGCGTCCATTGATCTACACCGCCCTACCTGTTCATCCAATTATCCCAGAATCATATCATTTTTAGTGTGTGGAAGTGTTTCCAAGCACTAACCACAACACAGACATAACTATCAGCATATATTTTTGCCCTCCAAACATGCTTTAGGTATGACACATGCAATAGTTTACAAAACTTCTGTGAACAATGAGTTCCCTTTCAAAATGTCATTCATATTCTGTTTGAGATATAGCAGCAGCCTAGTTTATTAGGGTTATTAAGTTTTCCTTTTTTACCTTTTTGTCCTTATTGTAACTTTCATTGACTATATATACGGGGGCTCTACACTTAGTTTGTATCCCTTTTTACTCACGATTATTTCAAGTTGGTATCAGAGCCAAAACCCTAACCCCAGCCCCTCCTCCACGTCACAGCCACCCACCGCCTGAACTGCCAGCAGTGATACCACCGACTGCCCACTCCACCGACACAGCAACCAGCAACCCACACCGACAAACACACTGTCCAGTCCACTGACACAGCAGCCAGTAATCCACATCCCACAACTCCACTGCCCAAAAACCTCAATCCAACCGACAACCGACAGCTTGCAATAAACATTAAACCCACTGCCCAGAAACTTCACAAAACCCAGCAATATACAAGAACCGACATAGTCCAAATCACCTACTGCCCAGACCATCAAACCAGCACCTACTGCCCAGATTGCCCAATAACACCGACTGCCCTGAACCCACCAACAGTCCCAATCCAAACAAGCAGCAACACCATATACACCGAGACCCAATACCATATACCCACTGAAACCAAACCGACTGGCCATATATAGCCTGTCCAGCGCCCTTTACCCATTCTCCATATAATAATAATAATAGATCCAACCCAATAAACCCAATACAACCACTCCTACTGCTGGATCATTGTCCAGCCCATTGCTGGGTCACAATTTTCGTTGTGATTTTGTTCTAGGACTTTTTTGAGACGGAGCGGATCCTCTTTTCAGTTGATCTGCCCTTGATGCAGTAGATCACTTATTTATATATTTTGGATTTCTGGGCACTGTGACCTGATTATTTGGGAGCTTTTTGGACCTTCTTTATTTGTCGCTACTGTTCGACTGAAGGTATATTGTTCTCCCTTATTTTATTCCTCTATTTATCTTAGAATTATTTTTCTGTCACGGGTGTCCTAGTATTGTTGTTGATATGACTACTACTGAGGGACTTGAGAACCCTACTGTTGACACTTCTACCGTTGAGACATCTATGGGTACTTCCACTTTTATGTTTGACCAGTATACAGTACCTACTAGCACAGTTACATTACCAGCACTACCGGGCATGATCTCTCAAAAAGTTACAGCACAGTTGTTGAATGGTCGTAACTTTGCTGAGTGGTCTCGCTCATTCCAGCTTTTCTTAGGCCGTGTAGGGAAGCTTGGTTGGCTGACAGGATCTCACCCAAAGCCAGCTGATGCCGACCCTGGATATTCTGCGTGATTTTCTGAGAACTGTGCCATTCTTGGATGGTTATTTGGCTCGATGGAGCCATCTATTTGCTGGATCCACCAGTTTCATAGCTCTGTTTCGAAGCTATGGAGCACATTATCAGAGATGTATTCTCAGTCAGGACAGGGAGTTCGTGTTTATGAGCTTTCTTAGGAGCTCTCATATGCTCGGCAGGGAGATATGACCGTTCAGGATTATTATGGCTATTTGACCCAACGCTAGCTTGAGTATGAGACTCTACGTCCTCTTGCTGCTATTCCGAAGATAGAGCCCGAGGGAGCAGCATTCTTGCATACTCGAGAGCAGGAGGATAGGATTCACAAGTTCCTTATAGGATTTCATGATGAGTTTGAGGGACCTTGTTCTCAGATCTTGTCGATGTTGACACTTCCTTCTCTTTATAAGGTGTATGGGATAATTGAGCAGCATGAGCGTCAAGTCCGTATTGCATCACTTGCAGTTGCAGCTTTGACTCCTTCGGCTGACCAGATGGCCCTTGCAGTTGCTGCAGGGTCTCGTTCAGGATCCTCAGTCAGGGGTAGGCAGCGCTCGGATCAGCGCCGTTAGGGTGCCCCAAATCAGCGCAGACAAGGGGATTCTCGTTAGGGTGCCCCAGATCAGCGCAGACAGGGGGATTTCCATCACTGTGATTATTGTGGCCGATCAGGACATCTCAGGGCTATTTGCTGGAATCTCCATCCAGAGCTTAAGCCGCCTCCTCGCAGTCGTACTGTTACTATTGCTGAGGTACCACCACCCACTACCGCTACTCTTGCTGCTGCTGCTCCACCTTGGCAGAGTGATATGGATGCTATCACTTCTCGATTAGATATACTTATGTCTGCTCTGACTTCTCAGAGTCCGACTACTGCTGCTGTCACCACTACAGGTACACCTCATACCTTTCACACTTGTGTCAGTTCATCTCCCCTTTGGATGTTGGATTCGGGTGCGAATGGTCACATGACAGGCATCACTTCACCACTTTTGACGAGCAGTTACATACACAGGTTCAGTTAACAGATGGGACACGTGCCCCTATTGTTAAAAGAGGAACAGTCCGCCTCTCAGATGGCCTTACATTACGTTCGATTTTTCATGCGCCAAAGTTGGCCATAAATCTATTATCTGTACATCAGTTAGCTAGAGATTTTTATTGTGCAGTTGTATTCTTATCTGATTCGTGTTATTTGCAGGACCTGAGTACCAGGAGGATTATTATCAGGGGACATGAGAAAGATGGACTATATTATCTTGACAATCCACCTCCAGTTTCATCAATTCCTCCACCTACATCACCTGCACCTGCTTTGTCTTTTTCTGTTCCTAGGTTGCATGCTAGATTTTACCTAGTAGTTGTCATTATGATTTTTCGTCACAAACTGTTCAGTTGTGACATGACCATTTTAGACATACAAATTTTAAATATTTATGTATGTTGTTTCCTGCTTTGAGCAATGCTTATGTTGGTGGTAAACTTGACTGTGTTATATGTTCCCTATCGAAACATGTTAGGGTCAGTTATATTCCTCGCATGCACCAGTCACCTAAGTCATTTGACCTAATACACTCTGATATTTGGGGACCCTCTCCCGTTACTGCTTTGTCAGGTGCCCGATATTATGTGACATTTATAGATGACCATACCCGTTGTACTTGGGTTTACCTTTTGCATAGAAAGTCTGATGTACTTCCTATAATTACTCAATTTTTACAGATGATTAAGACACAATTCGATGTCATTGTTCGTGCTCTTCGTTCGGATAATGCCAAAGAATATGTGTCTGATGCCTTAGTGTCTCACCTTTCTTCTCAGGGTATTCTTCAGCAACTCACTTGTCCATATACTCCTGAGCAAAATGGTATTACTGAAAAGAAAAATAAGAGTTTGATAGGGATGGTACGTTGTATGCTTAGAGGCATGAGGATACCAAAATCTTATTGGCATTTTACTGTTTTGACTTCTACCTTTCTGTGCAATCGTACGCCGAGTCGTGTTCTTCAGCATAAGGCTCCCTTACAGGTCTTATTTCCTGAGCGGACACTTTTTCCGGTCCCCCCTCGTGTTTTTAGATGCACATGTTTTGTTCAGGATCGATCTCCTACTCGTCATAAACTTGATGATAAACGATTCGTTGTATCTTTGTGGGCTATTGTCATCAATCTAAGGGGTATCGGTGTTATGATCCTATCAGGCACGGTATGTATCACAGTCTAGATGTTACCTTTCTTGAGCATATTCTTTATTGTCCTCCCAGTCCTGTGTCTGCCCCTCCAGTTGATAATACTCCCTTTGATTTTTCATTACCACAGGAGTCAGAGTCATTGGTCATTATCCCTACAGGGTCATCTGTTTCTCCTCCTTCAGAGCCACTCATCTCTGTTAATACAGAGTTACCAGTCTCTCTTCCTTTGCAGGTGTATGTTTGTCGCCCTCGCTCTCATCACCATACTGATGTCCCCTCTACCTCAGGCGATGCAGATAATACTTCTCAGTTTGTTGAGCATATTGATGCACCTGTTGTTAGTACTGACGAGATTGCAGGTGCTGAGCCAGTTCATTTATCTGATGAGACATTATCAGTGGAGGAATATGATTTAGGGCGTCGTTATCTGCGGCGTGATCGCCGTCCAGTTGATCGTTATAGTTGGACCGCCAGGATTTTATATCCGATCTCTGCTTATGTTTCTTATGATGATCTGTCTCCCACATTTCGAGCTTATACTATGGCCTTATCAGATACGTCAGTTCCTCGCTCTATTTCAGAGGCTATGCGGAAGCCCCAATGGGTTCTTGTCATGCAGACAAAGATGGACGCTCTTCAGCGTAATCATACATAGGATCTTGTCTCCTTACCTTCAGGGGTGAAGCCTGTTGGCTGTCGCTGGGTTTACACCCTGAAGTTTCTTGCGGATGGTACTATTGATCGTCACAAGGCTAGACTTGTGGCGAAGGGCTTTACTTAGGTACCAGG